TTCGAAGCCGAGCCGGAACTGTCGGATTGGGCACCTGAGGCTCACCGGAAGGCGTTGGGAGCCGGACCGGAAGGGGGAGCAGATTCGTTGGGGAGCCTCTCCCGCTTGACCTGAGGGCCGCTCGGCTTCTGCCGGCGCTTGTGGGCGGCCGCCCGGGGAGACGCCGCCGTCATGTCCGCCTTCGTGGTAAGAGAAGCCCGGGCGCCGCACTACGATGCCCATCTTTCCCGGGGGGCGGGGGCGGAGGATGGGGCTTGTCCGAAGTAGCGGGGGAAAGCGCGAAGGTCGGGAGGAGCGAAATTGGGTTTTCATTGATGAAATGTCTTCCATATATTATGTTTATTATATACGTGTCTCCCAAAGGGCTTTTTTCCAAGAGGCAACTGGACTTTCTGGTTTTTTTTTCTTTTAAGACGTTTCGCTTCTCCTCCAAGGAAGCTTCTTCAGCTCTCTCGCTCTCTCTAGATTATTTTTTAATTTTTTTTAAATTGTTTTACAAAAAATAAAGATATTTAAAACATTTGTTTTTGTTAGCTGCGAAGTCACATCCGACCCATCGCAACCCCATGGAAAACGTTCTTCCAGGCCTTCCTGTCCTCTACCATCCTCTGGAGTCCATTTAAGCTCANTAAAGTGGTATTAACACTTCACATGATCTTGATTCTATCCCTCTGTTTATGCAGCCTAGAACTGTGTTGGCTTTTTTGGCAGCTGCTGCACATGGCTGGCTCATATTTAAATGGTTGTCCACTAGGACTCCAAGATCCCTCTCACAGTTACTACTATTGAGTAAGGTACTACCTATAAGGTACCTGTGCATTTCGTTTTTCTTGCCTAAATGTAGAACCTTACTCTTTTCACCATTGGATTTCATTTTGTTACATAGTGCCAAATGTTCAAATTTGTCAAGATCCTCCTGTATCTTAAGCCTATCTACTGGAGTGTTGGCTATTCCTGCCAGCTTGGTGTCATCTGCAAATTTGATGAGTTCCCCCATTTATCCCCTCATCCAAATCATGAAGCTGTTGAAGAGTACTGGGCCTAAAACAGAGCCTTGGGGTACCCAACTGCATACTTCCCTCCATGTAAATGCAGTTCCATTGAGGACTACATGTTGAGTGCAGTTGGTCAGCCAGTTAGGAATCCATCTGGTGGTGATGCTGTCTAACCCACATTCTTCTACTTTATCTAGTAGTAATGGTCTACTTTATCAAATGCCTTAGTGAAGTCCAAATAAATTATATCAATGGCATTCTTCTGGTCCACTATTTTTTTCACTTTGTCATAAACAATAAAGGCAGGATGCAAATAAATAATCTATTGGCTCAGTCCATTATTCTACAGGACTTGTAGCTGTTTAAGCAGCCCTGATCCTCTTGTACTGGGGCTTTTCAGAGTTTAGGGCAGTTATTTAAGTGCCTTGACAGCCTAAAGTTTTGCCTGCCTTCCTGTTTAAGGCAGATGGATTCAGCTGGGCGTAGAATGGAGCTTGGATATTTTTCTCAAGGACTGATGTTTTTCACTTTAACACATCTGTCTGGCTCTGGCCTGAGTAAAGATAAGGAATCCATGGTCATCTTCCTATTACACATTTCACAGTTCTTAGCCAACCTGACTGATAGCAAAGCATGCTGGGAATTATAGTTTAACTGTACCTGGAGGACCAAAGGTCTGGTGGTTGTTGGAATATTAGTAACAGTAATCATAACAAGCCAATTATATCAAATAATTCATAGATTATTTCTTGCAAATCAAATCACAATTAAAGGATCAAGAATAAGAGGTGGGCAATTCCAGCAACAAAGGACTGGAAAGCAAACAGATATTACCTCAAACTTGATCACTTCTGCTCCTGTTCCTTTTAATTAGGCAGTTTTGAATTTCAACAGAATCACATTCTCCACTGTGGTTTAAGCTAAAATGGATCACTTTAAGCCATTTATTGTTCAATAAGAGTAAGAGTGCTCCCCCTGCAGGCTTTTTGTAAAGCAGAAATAGAAAGGTGTACCATAAAATAAGGAAAGGGTGAAAATAATTTTTAAGTTTTGAAAAAGGAAAGATTCAAGCATATTTTAATTTCTACGAGCAAATGAAACACATTTTCTATTATAGCAATTGTACACAACACTGCATGATTATTTTATATTATGACGAAAGGGTAAATGGAAATGTCCATATTTATGGCAGAATTTAGGTCTCTCAGTGTGGAAATTTTTTAAGGAACAAACAGGGACTTTCATGTAGAAGGTATTGTTTGAATTACTCAGAGCACTGAGTAAAAAAAACTAGTTACTTGAGGTGGAATGTAAAAATCTACAGCTCCGTATCTCTACATCTGGATTTCAGTTTCACATAAATCAAAATGCAGGTGGTCGGCTTTTTACCCTGTTTCCCTAAAAATAAGACTTACCTGGATAATAAGCCCAATCGGGCTTTTGAGCGCATGCACTAAAATAAGCCCTCCCCGAAAATATTGCAACACAGCAGCAGCCATGAGGTGACCACGCTCGCCACCTCCTGCACCTCAAAAATAAGAGCTTCCCAAAAATAAGGCCAAGCACTTATTTCGGGGGTCAAAAGAAAATAAGACCCTGTCTTGTTTTCGGGAAAACATGGTAGCCTTATACCTTGAAGCACTGGGAAGAATGGAAACATTCTGCATTTGCAACTGAAGTCCCAGTTAGATAAACATGGAACTCATAAACGTGAGTTTTAGGTCTCACTGAAAGGAAAAAAACAAGCAGAAAATCTTGCATTTATGCTGTTTGTCAAGACTAACTGACTTCTTTACTGCCCACAGCGGATACAGAACATCCTATAACATGTCCATTTTTTTACCATGCAAAAATATTTCTACATCTTTTTTAGAAGAAAGGATTTTACACTGTCAATCCTTCCATCTCACTTCAAGTCCTTCCTCATTTAGCGACCATTTGAAGTTACAACAGCACTGAAAAAAGTTACCAGTCCTCCCACTTATAGCTGTCACAGCATCGCCTGGTCATATGTTCAAAATTTGGCTGCTTGACAAGCAGCTTGTATTTATGACAGTTGCAGCTTCCCAGGGTCAGGTGATCACCACCTGCACAAGCAAAGTAAATGGGGGAAGCAGGATTCACTTAATGACCACACAGTGACTCACTTATTAACTGTGGCCAAAAAGGGCAATGAAACTGTGTGTGATTCAGTTAACTGCCCTGTTTAGCAACTGAAATTCTGGTGCAATTGTGACTGCAAGTCAAGGACTATATGTACATAGTTATGGTTTGGGGGAGGAGGGGGAGAGAGAGAGGGAGAAATGTAGTCCTCAACCTACAAGTTCATTTAGTGACCGTTTGACCTTATGACACTGAAAAAAAGTGACTGAAGACGGATTTTCACACAACCGTTTCAGCATCTCCATGTATACGTGTGAATATACTCATACGTATATGACATATACACATATTTTATGTTTGTGTATGCAAATATCATATGTATATGTAAGAATGTATATATGACTGACACACACACACACACACACACAGGCCAGGCCCTTCTTGAGTTGTGGGGGGGGGGGGGCGCCCTTCCTTACCAGCCTTCATAGCGACACGTGGCTCCCACTTCCGCCCATTGCCGGAAGNAATAGAATACATTCTTAAAAAATCCTAAGGTATAACACTTACTGATTGGCATAGATTACTAATAAGCAATCTAATAAGTGGGTGTGTGGGTGTGTTGTACTGAGCCACAAAATTATGGTGAGTTCAGAAAATGATGAAATATAATAATGTTGGATTTTGTGTGAAAAGAATCAGAATGTTTTCTACTACTTTTATATGGTGCTGGAGCTAAAAATGAAGGAGGAGAATGTTGAAATTATAAATATTTACATTGCAGTTTTTCTTTTCATTGATTGGGAATGTAGTAAAGAAGCAAAGGATGGCTAAAGGAGAGAGGAAAATAGATTGTGGTATTTCAAAAACAGGATATCAAAAACAGTTAATAATGTGAGGAATGTACAGTAGAACCTCAGGTCACAAACGCTTCTGACCACCACCAAATCGGGTGCAGTCAAACACAGCCCAGTCAATTTCCCCTGCCATGACTTTTTTTTTTACACACATGCGCAGTTAGTCTTGCTCCCAATCACGACCAAATTGGGTTGCAACAGAAGTCCTGGAATGGATTACGGTCGTGACCAGAGGTTCCAGTGTAGTTGGTTAGGTCTCATCCATGTTAAACTTTCAAACAGTTTTTGTTAAGGGTTTCAGTAGGTGGCAGCATCTGCCTAACCTTCGGCAGGTTCAAAAGTTTAAAAAGACTGCCTCACAAGTGGTTAGAAGGGACACTGCCAGGGAATCCCTTGACTTTGACCCAGCAATGTCCATAATAATCTATGGTGATCTCAAACTAACCTTATTGGTAGGAGTCATCATTCTCTCTCCACCAACACCTGCTTTGGAGTACATGATGGAAATTCAGATCCCAGGAGATGGGATCTAGGAATGCAGTCTGGTTGCATTGAAAACACTGTTGCCTTGATTGTCCAGCAATTGTTTAAGGTCGATCTTATATAAAAACCATAATGGGGGAAAACCCACTAAGAATCACCCAGAAAACCCATTATGTTGCAATCCTTTAATTTTGTTTGATTTTTTGTACTGATTTGTTGTTGTTGTTAGTTGCTAAGTCGTGTCCGACCCATCGTGACCCCATTGACAACATTCCTCCAGGCCTTTTTGCCTTTTGATACTGTCCATGGGGTTTTTGTGGCAAAGATACTGGAGTGGGTTGCCATTTCCTTCTCCAGTGGATCACGTTTTGTCAGAGAACTCTGCTATGACCTGTCTGTCTAGGGTGGCCCTGTACAGCATAGCTCATAGCTTTACTGAGCTACATAAGCCCCTTTGCCACAAGAAGGCAGTAATCCATGAAGGGGTTTTATTGATTATATGCCATCAAGTTGGTGTAAATTTTCAGCGCCCACATAAATAGGTTTTCTCCATGATGATGTGTCCGTAATTTGCTCTTTCAAAGGTGTATGCATCACAACTGTACCTATATATATTTGTTTTTTACAGAGTTGTAAAATGGGAGTTTTCTCTCTTTCTTAGTAGCAGAAAACGAGGTCACAATCTGTACCAGGTTCAGTATGCTGGATCATTTGGAACCCAGTTGCAATGGCCTTTTTTGGCAACAGAGCAGCCTATGTTGGCTACAAGCTAGTAAGTGACAGGGTTTCTATACCCATGCGAGTCAAATTGTGACACAAAGGCCCACATGCCCTCTGACAGTTGAACGCAGGTCAGTAGCACTTGGCAGAGTAGAATGGCTAAATCTGACTAGCATACTATTGATGTCCCTTGAGGATAATTTCATTTCACTATGTGGGTTTATTTTAGGACTTCAAAGTCTACGTGGATCAAGCATGTAGAGCAGCAGAAGAATTTGCAAATATTTATTATGAAACCATGGATAAAAGAAGAAGGGTATGTAGATTTCTAATAGCTATTTTGTGAGTTAGGAATGCATAGATTCATATGTTTTTATCTTTCCTTTATTACTTTTAGAAATGCCTCACTGTTTATATTAAACTAAGAGTCAACTAGAGCCAGTTTGATGTAGTGGTTAAGGCATTAGACTAGAAATTGGGAGACCATGAATTGTAGTCCCACCTTGGGCACTATAGTCAGCTGGGTGACTTGGACCAGTCACTTTCTCTCAAC